CATACATACACACACACACACACACACACACACACACACACACACACACACACACACACACACACACTGCTGTTCAAAAGTTTGGGATCAGTAAGATTTTTAATGTGTTGTAAAGAAGTCTTCTGTTCATCAAGGCTGCATTTATTTGACCAAAAATACAGAAAAAAACAGTAATATTGTAAAAATATTATTATCAATTAAAATAACTTTTCTATTGTAATATACTTTAAAAATATAATTTATTTCTGTGATGCAAAGCTAATTTTTCATCATCATTACTCCAGTCTTCAGTGTCACACGATCCTTCAAGTCTTTATTATCACTTTTTATAAATTTAACACATCCTTTCTGAATAAAAGCATTCATTTCTTTCCAAAAAAAGAAGAAAAAAAAAAATATTGACCCCAAACTTTTGAACGGTAGTGTATATTGTTACAAAAGATTGTTCTTTTTATCTTTTTATTCATCAGATAGTCTATATATATATATATATATATATATATATAAATAAAAGCATAAATAAACGATTAAATAAATGTAGGTCACACATGATGCACCGCGGCTGAGTGACTCTTCTCACCTGTATCCTCTGAAACACTCCGGATTATCAAAGCGAGCTGGTAAATTATTTTCCACGTTGTACACATCGCTTGTCTTTATTTCAGTTGTGTTAGACAATGGTTCAGGCTCCGTTCTTGTTCCTTCATCTGCGGAATGATCGTCCATGTTTCCGTTTGCTTCAAGCCCCCAGTGAATCTTTAGGCATTCCGTACGCGTGGTTGCTATCAACATTGTAACTAAGTGACGTGTGGCGACATGCTTTGATCTCGCCGACACGCGGTCACGTGGTTCATGGAGCTCTCAATAGTTCCAAACATCTCTGCGCTGTCAATCTGTTTGAATTGGTTTAATCGGGACAGACAGCAGTTCCACTCTATTTTTGCAGCCATTTCTAGTGATACTTAACACCTAATGCTATGTTGATGTGTGCATGCCCAGTAGTTTTTGCTGTATCCCATCTAGCCTTAACCAGAAGAAAGTTCAACACTCTTAAGCAATGAAAAAATAAACAAGTAAAATTTAAAAAATGAAACCCAAATGTTATGTTTATCTAAAGTAATTTTTGCTTATTAGTATGGTTGAATTGGATCATCGAAAGTCAGCAACAAAGTCATTGGTTAATAAAATGAGATTAAATGCATAAAGGATATTTGTGTTATTTAACATATTTCAATATTGCAGGTTTGCGTCATATTCTAAGTGTGCATTTCAAAGGTTTTATTCATTTTGAGCAATACTGAATCTGTTTTTGTGCAATTGAGACGAGTAAATGCATGTTCACATTAGTAACCATCATGTTTACAGCGCACACAACACCTTTACACTTACTCCTGATTTCTCTCAACATGGGACAAGAGAGCTGTCACTCAGTAAATGGGAAAACATATTAACTGGTATTATTTAAAAAAGTAACTCAGATATTTTCTTATAGATTAAAAAGTAATCCATTACTTTACTAGTTACCTGAAAAAAGTAACCTGATTGCGTAACTCTCTTTACTTGTAATGTATTACCCCAACACTGTATTGCACTGTGATTAAATGTATTTTATTACAAAAGCAAATAGATACCAGTGCACACTGAAGTTAGCACATGTCTGTTAGACGTCCACGGACCTGTATAGACAAAAGAAAAAACGATTCAGCTATCATTGCTGCTTTACAAAATAAATTATTCTTAGATTCATTTATTTAGACATCATGCAACCACTTCTACATGAACCTTTAACACATTTCTTACATTTACATTACATTAAGTAGTTTTCTTATCCATAGAAAACAATAGTAAAACCCAGATTTAGAGCCTCTTGATTTCAGCTGGAACTGATGTTGAGATTTTCCAACTGCTTGACTGTATACCCTTTACGAACATTTTGAGTTGTCATCTAAAATTTCCACTCCTTGGATTGTATGCAGTTTACTTCATTTCAAACCTAAAATTAAAACAATACAGATTTCAGAAGACCCGTCATCAAGTCTCAAAAGCCACAGCACCGGTAAGTAGGTGTGGGCATGGTTTATGCAAGTGTAAAGTGTGCTTTTAAGAAAATGAAACCTATTGAAATGTTTCCTCTTCATGCATTTGCTTCCAAACCTGTTTTGAGTTTCTCCACGCTGATAAACAAACTGCCACAGTGCATTATTACTCACGGTACGAGTTTGAGTCTGGCCTAGCGCGTACCAAAAGTAATAATGCACTGTGAAGCAGTTAAATAGGGCTCCTTTCTTCTCATCAAGGCACGACTTTGTCCAATTAAACGGCGTATATGGTTTTAAAACATGCAGAATGGAAACATATTTAAGATTTGCTACAATTATGCATACTTTACCTTTACCATACTTTATCTTAGTCTTCACTTTTCTCCATTAGTGGCCTTCAGAGGTGCCCAAATCATTCAGAGAGGTTAAATCCATCCATTGCTGCAGTGATGGAGTAGAAGAACATAATGTAATGCTTCAAACAATGCAGTATTGTTAAACTAATTAACAGAGGCTTCTCTATCAGAAATGGCATTGTTCAGAATAATGCTGAAAAGTTTCACTCTAACAAGGCCTCATAACGATTATAAACATGCTGACATAGTGTGATTAAAACAAATAACAAAACTTTCTAAAATGTTAAACTAAAATGTTGTATTAAATAAACCCGTTTAGAATGCGCTATAATTATTGTATCATTCTTTTTCAAAAATGTCGAACAAATATGAAGTAAATCAGGTGAGCTAATAAAAAGGGAAAAGGCTCTCACATAATCCAAAGAATTTGAAAACCAACAAGACATCTAAGATTATGCATTAGGACAACTTTGGGAGTAAAGCCAACGGAAGACTGAAAAATACTGCGATATTTATCATCGCAGTGTCCGTATATATATTAAATATTACTGTAATGAACTAAAATATTACCAATAACTTGGTGTAATTAAAGCAGCTCCAAAAAGTAATGTAAAGTGTGACCAATTTTCCTTGGAAAAATTTTAGTTCTGTAAACTCTACCTGAAAATTATGGATCTGTTTCCAAATATGTGCTGGTCCAGCTGGTGAACCTGAGAAAGGAGGAGGTCCATAGACGAACGTTTGAGCTCCAGAAACAGGACTTTAGTGATGTGTTGTAGCCTATACTGCACTGTCCGGACATGTGAGACATGAAATGCCTTTGTCGTGTTAGAGGTTCTTTTTATTGAACCTTCCTGTGGAAGTGAGGAATCAGGATGGTCATTCCCCAAACCGGAATTCCTGTGTGTGTTTGTTACTGATAAAACAGCTGTAAAGAACCAGCTCCATCCTTCTAGAACCGCTGGAGTCTGTTAGTGAACTCTGAGAAGAATTGAGCATTCTTTTGAAGTGGAAAGCTAGGCACACTTAAGAAAAAAAAAATCTGTTTTTAGAATTACTGCATCATCTTATTATGAATTTTACATATATTACAACAACCCCAAGCAGAACTACATGAAACCTGTGACCCTGGAGCACAAAACCAGTTTTAAGTTGCTGGGGTATATTTGTAGCAATAGCCAAAAATGCATTGTATGGGTCAAAATGATTGATTTTACTTTTATGCCAAAAATCATTGGGATATTAAATAAAGATCATGTTCCATAAAGATATTTTGTAAATTTCTTACTGTAAATATATCAAAACTTAATTTTTGATTAGTAATATGCATGGCTAAGAACTTCATTTGGACAACTTTAAAGGCGATTTTCTCAATATTTAGATTTTTTTTGCATCCTCAGATTCCAGATTTTCAAATAGTTGTATCTCGGCCAAATATTGTCCTATCCTAACAAACCATACATCAATGGAAAGATTATTTATTCAGCTTTGAGATGTTGTATAAATCTCAATTTCAAAAAACTGACCCTTATGACTGGTTTTGTGGTCCAGGGTCACATATGGCAAATGAAAAACCTGCCCTCCAAAACATGCATGTTATAGTATTTATGCACATTTTGAATTGGCTTCTATTTTTATATTTTCAGTGTTCATTTTAAATTTAGTTCAAACTATTTCTGTTTAGCTTTATTTTTAAGTTTCAGTTTTAGTAATTCAAATTTAAAGGCAACAAACAACAACAAAATCAGAAGCCAGGGTGGTAACTATCCATTTAATAAAAATAAAAAAATCACAAAACATTAACACAAAGTATGCCATTGTAAATCAAGTAAAAACAAGCCAACAGGTTTTAATTTATGCCTGAAAGTTAGCAGGAGGAGGGGGAGAGAAATGCAGCATTTCCAGTGTCGGAGGAAAAAGGAAGCTGCTGGTGGATGAAGATAGCAGGGTCTGCTTCATCCGAACAATAAAAATCTCACCCGCTCAGGAAAAGGATCTGCGTCAGCAGTGAGTGACAGATTTTAGAAAGACAAAATGGTGCCAAATCCAAAGTGGCGGGAGAAAATCAGTGTTTCACTTAAAGACCTCAAAAGCACAATGCTGTGTTCCTTATGTTTCATCGAAAGTTTACAGGAATTGCTGTTATGAAACACTTCAGTGGGCAGGGTCAAACATTATTTCACAAATACAAACCCTTCCCTTAAAACTTTTAACACACTTCTTAATGCGCCCAAATATGTGGACACTTAAACTAGGCTTAAAATAGATGTCAGAGCATTAGATAACAAAATATCAAACCATTTTTTAAAGCAAAATGTTTCACAAAAGTATGTTTATATATATATATATATATATATATATATACACACAATGCTATTCAACATTTCTGAGAAGTTTCTGAGAAATGTAATTTATTTATTTATAAAGCACTTAAAACTATACAGTAGACCCAAAGTGATAAAAAAAATAGACGCAAACAGCAGTTAAAACACTAAAGAGCACAGATTTTAAACTTCAAAACATATTTGTATAGTCTCAGACCCGCCACAGAAAAAGCCAGATCACCTTTGAGATTGCGTTGCGACCGGGGAATGTTTAAGAGCAGATTATTTACTATGTATATAGGCCTATGCAAATGTTCTGTGTGTATATACCTGGACGACCTGTATTATATTACTAAAAAGCAGAGCACACAGCTGTGTACCTTATCCCACAATGCACCGTGCTTGACATTTCCAGTGTGATTAATTAGTCAGTAGTATAATTTGTGATTTGTAGTCGTCGTCGTCTTTCAGCTTGTCCCGATTAGGGGTCGCCACAGTGGATCATCCTTCTCCATTTTGCTCTGTCCTCTGTGTCTTCCTCTGTCACACCAACAGTGTTGGGAAGGTTACTTTGGAAATGTAATAGGTTACAGATTACAAGTTACCCTACTTAAAATGTAATAAGTAGTGTAACTTTTCAATTACTTTATTAATGTAACTGATTACATTTGATTACTTTTCTAAATTTCTAATATTTTCAACTGTTAATCATTTTCAAACATGTAAACCAGGCAGGGTTAACATTACAGTAGTACTGAACACTGATTACTGTCAGACTTTCGAAATCCTTCATCACTTGAATAAAGATTATAATATTTCAATTTTAAAGGAAATGTCTTCATTTGCATATAAATGTTTCTTAGCAGTGTGTGGACACAACCACCCTACAATGATAAAAATTCACTCCTTTTTTGTTTAACCCCCCCCCCCACAAA